CCCCCCCCCCCCCCCGCCAAAAAAACCCCCATATATGTTGTAAAGCCTAACCTCTATGTCTGTGATTATAATCCCATTTGGAGGCAAGTTTTCTGTTAGGGTGATGAGGCAGGATTCGTGTGGGGTGCATCTTGAGTCAGTCTTTTGAGATAAAAAAGAAACTCAACTGGGCAATGAACGTACAAATGTGCTTTACACAATTGATGTATGTATGGATTGTCATAAGTTGTATGAGCCCCTAATAAAACGATTAAAAGCAACAACAACAACTAAAAAAAGAAAAAGGAAACTCGACTGAGGAAGCAGAGCTGGGAGAAGTGATTGGCTAAGCCCCATGAAGAGCTCCCAGGAGCAGAAGCGAAGAAGAGACAAGGATTTCCCTAAAGAGCTGCCGACAGAAAGAGAAAGCCTTCCCTAGAGCTGGCAGCCTGAATTCTGGCTCCGAGCCTCCTGAACTAGGAGAAATGCAATTTCCCTGTGTGAGAGCCGCCCGTCTGTGGTGTTTTTATTATAGCAGCGGTAGATAACCAAGATAGAATTTGGTACCGGGAAGTGGGAGTACTGCTCCAATAAATACCTATCATGCAGAAGTGGCTTAGGAATTGAGTGGTGGGTGGAGGTTAGAAGAGTATTAAGATGTCTAATAGTAAAATCCACAATCAATGCTTCTGGAAGTAGTCATCAAGAGATCGAACGACGCACTACATTGGGAAAATCTGCTGCACAAGCCAAAGTGTTGAAAAGCAAGAAGGTTCCTTTGAGGAGTTAGGTACACCTGACTCAACTCATAGTATTTTCAGTCACCTCCTATGCATGTGAAAGCTGGACATTGAATAAGGAAGACCAAAGAAGTATTGATGCATTTGAATTATGGTGCGGGTGAAGAAGATGGAAAGTACCGTGGACTGCTAAAAAGACAAACAGATCTGTATTGGAAGAACTATAGCCAGAGTGCTTTTATTTTTGCCAGAGTGCTCTTTAGAGACAAGGATGGCAAGACTTCATCTTACAGACTCTGAACATATTGTCATGAAAGACCAGACTCTGGGGAAGGCATCATGCCTGGTAAAGTGGAGAGGCAGCAAAGAAGAGGTAGGCCGTCAATAAGGTGGCTGCAGTGATAGACTCAAACATAAGAACAACTGGGAGGGGGTGGGGGAAGGGAGCTGAGATCAAAGAGCTCAATAAGAAAGAAAATGCTTTGAAACTGATTGTGGTAGCAATTGTACAGTACTGCTTGTTATGATTGAACTATGGAATGTTATGATATCTCTAAGAGCTCCCAATAAAGTAATTTTAAAAAATTAAGTATCAAAAAAATTTAATTATGTATAAAACACTTGATATTGACAAAGATATGTTACACTAAACCTCTATCGGTTAAAAAAATAACACATAAGAACAACTGTGAGGATGGCATAGGCCTGGGCAGTTTATCGTTCTCTTGTACATAGATAGGGTCGCTATGAGTTGGAATAGACGCAACAGCACCTAATAGCAACAGTAGTAAAATCCTAGATTGCCTTAAAGAGGATTATGGACACAAAATTCAATTCTATGAGGGCTCAGAAGGAAGTGAGGAGAGAGAGAGAAAATGTCTCTATCGCTGTGGACAACAAGTATTGCTCAAGTAACAGAACATTGCTGGAAATGTGAGCATTAAATGTGTTTTAAAAGAAAATAATGAACATGTACTTGGACAGTAGAGGAAGGTCAATGCAAAGAACTTGTCTGACTTACATCCCAACGTTCTGTGGAAGAACTCGAATAACTGGCTGATGAGATTTCTAATCAAGATCTTAAAGGAGCCACGTGGGTTCTCCCTGGCACTTACTCCAAAGCAGGAGAGGAACGAACTGAAAATGAACTGCGCAAAATGAAAACAGCACTTCCAGCTGTGGAAGATTGTGTCCTCCACATTAAGGACATATGTACTAGCATTTTCACCAAGGACATGGCTACACACTCTTTTGTTGAAGAGATTAAGCCTGTGACTGATGGAGCTAACCAATTGCCTCAGCAGAAACCCGATCAGCTAAGACTGAAGGGGCCAGAGAAAGAGAACACTCCCCGCCTCTCAGACGTCTACAGACAGGACACGGGCGGGAAGAGCTATACTCTTATCGATTGCCTTCGAATCAAAGAAAAGGGACCATCACTGAATCCGCTCAGAGATGCGGGGACCTATTGGAAAGAACACAGAAAGCAGGTTTCAAAGGATGGGGCCATGGTTTCCCAGATCTCAAAAGGTGGGGTCACATCCTCCTCGGTTTCCAGTAAGTGGATCTTCACCAACTCAGCTCTAGAGTGTGTCCTTGCTGTTAAAGTATGCCAGGTGATTGGGGCTGCTGCCCAAAGCTGAAGGGGCAGGGCTGCCATGGCCAAGGGGACAGAAGAAAGTTTCTGCCAGGGCTAAGGGGGTAGGGCCGCCATTCAGATGGAATAGGAGAATGGGGTCGTCCAAAGCACAGGGAGTATAGGTGCCATACCAGTGAGCCTAGAAGGCTGAACGGAATTCTGGAGGGGAGAGGCCTCCACGCAGATTTTAGAAAGCATGGCAATCCTGATGGCCTAGATCAGCGGTTCTCAACCTGTGAGTCGCGACCCCTTTGGGGGTTGAACGACCCTTTACAGGGGTTGCCTGATTCATAACAGTAGCAAAATGACAGTGATAAAGTAGCCCCGAAAATAATTTTATGGTTGAGGGAGTCACCACAACCTGAGGAACTGTATGAAAGGGTCGTGGCATTAGGAAGGTTGAGAACCGCTGGCCTAGATGGTTTCAGAGAACACGGTTCTTTTCAAACCTTGAAAGCTAATGTCAATGGATCAGCTGGGTTTGGGACTTGCTTAGTGCCCTGTCTCTTCTTACCCGCCATTTCCTCTCATTTGTGATGGAAATACTTACCTTGTCCCTGTTCTACCAGTGCACATTGAAAGCAGATAACTTGTCGCCTAGATTTCACACGTGTACAGATGAAGATTAATTTTACCCCAAGATGAAATACACCTAAAGTCTCACCCATACTTGATTTAGATGATTCAGAAGATGATATTTGGGACTTGGAGTTGATTTCAGGCTTGTGGGATGATGTGGTAGGGTGAGTGTGCTTTGCATATGACAAGGACAGGAATTTAGGGTGTGGGGCAAGGATGGACTATTATGGATTGAATTGTGATCCCCCCCACCAAGAAAAGTATGTATTCTCAATCCTAATCTCCATGCATATGGTTATCATCCCATTTGGGAAGGCATTGTCTGTAAGGTTAATGAGACTAGATTCATGTAGGGAGTATCTTGAATCCATCTCTTTTGAGATATAAAGGGCATTAAACAAGTGCATGAAGAGGCTGAGCCAAGAGAGATACCAAGCCTTAGGAAGAGCAGCCAGGAGCAGAAGCTCAAGAGATAAGGACCTTCCTCCACAGCCAGCCCCCTGACTTTGAACTCCTGCGCTGTGAAAAAACCAACTTGTATTTGCTAAAGTCACCCGTTGGTGGTGGTGTTTCTGTTAGAGCAGCACCAGCTAACGAAGACACTGTCCATCAGGAAAGGGGGCGTGTCCAAGAATGTGGCCAAAACAAGGGGGCATGGAGAAAAGGAGAATCAGGCAGAGTCTGGTCCTCATTTTACCACCCAGAGTACAGCTCTTCTAGACCCCAGAGACTTTCCCCCATGTATCAACTCCCGCAGGCTGGCAGGCCATGTTGCCCTGCACTCTGGTGTGGGAGGGAATCACACCTGCTTGCCAACTGGTGATACCTGTTGAAGGGGCCACAATTTTTCTGTCTTAAAGAATTTCCCATGGGGAGGTATTGTTCGCAGATTATAAGGCAGAGGGTTTGTGGTTCCTATAAGAGTAAACCATTTACTTTATTTACTTTATGTGTGTGCTTATGAAACTCAGCTCTCATATCTTAATATTTCCGTCTGTGATCCACAGGATCCCCCATTGTCTTAGAAACTCACTAGGATGTGACTTGGGTCTGGTTCTGATGCCACTTATTGTTACCCTCCTCCGGTGATATTGAGGAAAAAGGCCAAATGGACAGGGAGGGAAAGGGGAGGAAAGAGACAGCATGTAAGGGAGATACGGCCTCCTGAGCAATCCAAGGAGTTGAAAGCAGAGAATGGCTTTCTCGCTGAGACTTCTGTGTTCCAAGAATGATTCTCAACATT